CTGTTTCGTCGGAGTTTCACCGACTCATCAGGAGGCTGAACCCTCAACAGTCTGCAAAATCCCCTCACTGATTACACTGTAAATGATAATCTACCTTAACCAAAATCAAAGTAGACTATATATATATATACAGGGTTACCGGCGCTCGGGACGGGCCGAACGCCCGAACCCGAACGCCCGAACGTACGGGACCCCTTCGAGAGGCATTTGGCCGTTCGGGCCGAACGCGGGCCAAAAAAACAAAGTTTTCAAAAATTTCCGAAAAAAAACTATGTTATGGAGAAACATAAACTAAACAACATTTGCCTGGGCACTACATCCAAATTCTTTACCAAATTTGAATTAAAAATCCAATACAGAAAATAAACACTACGATAAAAATAAGAAAAAATCAAAAGAGAATTAAAATGAGTGAGTGTGTCATCACCTTTTCGACACCGCCATCCTTGACGATTTTTAATTATTTTTTGGCATTGACAAATGCCCTGAAAATTTACAGATATATATTTTACATAATCAGTAACTCATTAAAAAAAATTCAAAAAATAATAAATTTTTTTAGGCCCCGAAATAAAATGAAAACAAAAAGTTAAAAGTGAAAAAAGACAAAATAGTGAGTGCGCGAGCACGTTTTGACACCCCCATCTTTGACGATTTTTAATGTTTTTTTGGATTAGCAGAAGCGCTTCAAAATTTATAGGCGTGTAGGTAACATCATAGGGAACTCACAAAAAACAATTCTGAAACAAAAACTTATTTTTAGGCCCCGAAATATGTTTTGGTGGGGGCCGAACCTGGATGTGTTCGGCCCCCGAAAAGGACCCCGAACGCCCGAACGTTCAGGGGCCAGCCCGGGGGCCCCCGAACGTTCGGTCAAGTAACCCTGTATCGTCATATATATATATAAAATTGCTGGTGAGATAAATACGGTGCACATGTTTCTTTGATTCTTTTCTTTACGGACAGATGCAAAGATAAAAGGGAAAAAAAATAATAATGAAAAAAAAAAACAAAGACGTTTTCTGACTTTTCTCTTTTTTTTTTTCCTTTTTTTTTTTTTTTTTGGCACACACACATACTGATTGGCTGATTGATTGATTGCTGGGTAGCACCCCATACGCCTACGCAGGGCATATACTACCACATACGTATTCCGACATTCGCGTACGGACCCAAAATCGCGCGTGCGGAGTCATACTCGAATTCCCAACCAAGCTCGATTTAAAAATAAAAAACCAATCAATCAATCAATCAAAAAATTAATCAGTCAATCATTCAATTTAGTTTTATTTTTATTTTCTAAATTGTTTTTCACCCCCCCCCTCCTCCTCCTGAGAATCTTTTTTTTTAATCCTTTTTTTTTCCTCTAGGGAGTAGGGTTCCGGAGCCCAAATCTGCAACCCCCACCTCTAAACTCCTTCCCTTCTGGCTGCTAAGCGACGGCGAAAATCGTCGCGGCCGCCGTCATGACCGCGAGGTCGTGGCCATGACTGCAAGTCGCGGTCGTGACTGCAGCGACTGCTACGAGGGGGGATTCATAGCTCAGTGCCCTGAAACCGAGATCTGGGACCTGGGAATATGAATAGGAATATGTCACACAAAACAAGTTAGAGTATGCACTCAAAACAAGTCAGAGTAGGTCACAGTCACAAAGATGTGAATAGACGAGTTGATATTCGATGAAGAACCATAACAGGTATCCACTATTCAAACCACAACCCAATGGTCCGCCGTCATTCCCGAAGCACACTTCCGTCGGCATAGACTACCTTAGCAGTCGTCCCAACCGAGATCTGTGACCTGGGCACACTCAATAATTCCTTGCGTCGTAGGAAATGACCAGTTTTTTCCCCCGAATACAAAGTACAGTCATTATAAATGTATTTAGACTGAAAGATACCCCAAATAGTAAATAAAGCTATAATTACTATTCGTTGTATTCAGGGGAAGAAGGATGCCTGCATCTTGAAATCTGTATTGCCAAGGCTCTCTGTTGCGTCCATATATTAAGCAAATCTGATATAACCACTCATTTCCCCTCAACCGAAGACGATCGAATATGCCGGCAGCCCGGCGTCGGTCGAAACATATCGGAAGGATCCAGAAAGGAGCGGGCGTTTGTTCGCAAGTCTTTAGTGTTTTGTTATGCTTTCACGTACTTGTTGGCGACGTCCTTATTGTGCTTCTCACAATTCTTTAATGAAATCTTGACTACATGTGTTCTATATTCTTCCCCCTTCTCTCTATGTCTTGAAGTCATGCAATGGTGTGATGGTGTGATGTTGGTCAGTCGAACTCCCGACTAAGTTGAACTTATTTCGCAACTTATTTTGCAGCATTCATTTTTATGGTATGGTAGGCCTGTGAAAAATTCACGCAAGCTACTACTTACGTGTGCTCAACCCACGATATTCTTTGATAAAGCACAAAAGAATAGCCTGAGTACGTCAATTGAGTTGGGCACGCAGCTGAGTCTACGTGAGTTCTATATTCCTGCCCCTTCTCTCTATGTCATCAAGTTATGCGATGGTGCGATGTTGGTCAATCTAACCCCCGTGTAACTTATTTTGCGACTTATTTCGCAGCATACATTCTTCTACTCCGGTAGGCCTGCGAAAAATTCAGGCAAGCTACTACTTACCTCAGTTATCTGTGCTTAGCCCATGGTATTCTTTACTAAAAGGTGAAAGAATAGCTTACCCTGAGTACGCCAATTGAGTTGGGCACGCAGAAGAACCACTCGTTTATCAAACGAGATGCCAAAATGTTCAGTCTAATTATTCTGCTTGAATTAGACATTCAATTGAATGAGGTATGCAAAGCTTCTCAAAACAAAATACAGACTTTGATTCAAACTCGTAAAACATAATTATCGTACTTTTGTAGTCATTTCATAATTGAACAAGTCCGAGTCTATTATGTTCGATATGAGAAAGATTGGATTATGTTCTGTTTTTTTTCTTCCTTTTCATGGATCTCCTAGGTAAGAGATCGCAGGCTGCTTCACAAATAGAGAGGGCAGCAACGACAAGTGTGTGGTGCACACTGCACTGTGATAGCGTTCTCGATCCTGTGTAGGTAACGCCTGATGATTGCACTCTTTTGGGTCTTGCTCCCTCACCAGCCATACGACTACCCAATCTACGGTCAGTCCAAATTCCCTTCCCATCCTTAGTCATCTGAAATTATGAATGCAATCAGCTAATGAGAATGAGTCTGACAATGTTGACAAACGGATGTCTTACCCCGAAGACTCCAACTTGCCCTATGTGACCCTCTGAACGCGTTGAACGCGTGCATTCAAACGATCGGGGGTCTCGTTCAAACGTGCTATGCTCCACATGGTGCGAATTTGTTGAACGCGACCCACCCATCCGCATGCGCGCATGGCGGACTACAGGTGGGGGATTTGATTTTTCGAAAAAAAAAAGAAAAAAAAGTGGCAGTGTATATTTTCATGTTCTAGCGGTAGATTCATTCGATTTTGCTTATCAAATCGATGGAATACCATGAGGTCG